CACCCCTTGTTGATCAGATTGTAGCGCAGTTACATCAGTTACCCGAGGAGTCGAATATAAAATCAGCGCAGCAAGCCGTTAGAAAAGAAAGAGTGCAAGAGTGGGAGGAGAGGGCAGAACGTATTAGAGAGTGTGTACCACCAAGAATTCAGCGTATATTAGATGTGATTCGGAAAAAGGATCATCTGTGTGGCTAACAGCACTTCATCTAAAAGAACATGGATTCAACTTAAATAAGAGAGAATTTCGGGACGCCGTAAAGCTGCGCTATGATTGGCCAATCGACGACATCCCCTCCATATGTGTATGTGGGGATACCTTCACGGTTGACCATGCCATGATCTACAAACGTGGAGGCTTTGTTATTATGCGCCGCAATGAGTTAAGAGATCTGGAAGCGGAACTCCTCAACATTGTCTGTTGTGAAGTCCAAGTTGAGCCTGTCCTACAAGAGAGCAACTAAATGGAGGCTCCAACCGAGCACCTGATGCTAGACACGACATCCGTGCGCGTGGGTTCTGGGAAAGTCAACGATCAGCCTTTTTTGATGTAAGGCTTTGTCATCCCAATGCTGATTCGTACAAGGACCTGCAGCTACTCCAAGTCTACAAGATACACGAAAACGAGAAGAAGCGCCTATATGCAAGGAGAGTCCTCGAAATAGAGCAAGGATCATTTACGCCACTCGTATTCACCACCACAGGCGGTATGTGCAAAGAATGTGTGAGATACCATAGTCCATTGGCAGAGTTGGTAGCCATAAAGAAAGGAGAAGATTATGCGACAACTATGAGTTGGATAAGAGCCAGAACCTCACTCGCTTTATTGAGATCGGCACTTACCTGCTTGAGGTGTTCAAGGGCAAGGTAAATCATGTATGATATTAGGAACATTGATTTTAACATTGAGAACGCCGAGAGTGCTATCTCTCAAACAATTTAGATTGTACAATATATGTTTAGTTATTTAGCGGAATATGTTAGTTTAGTTATTTAGCTACTTAGCGGTAAATATTTTAATTATGTAGCGGTATATGTTCCAGAGTTTGTTTTTAAAATTTTACTGTACATATCAACAAACATTTAGACACATTTTTAATTATACCCAAAGAACAGATTATATAATATAGTCATTGATAACAAAAGCATTGTTGTATATAATGAATTGATGAATAAAGTTGTAATTATTATTAAAAAAATATATATATATATATATTATTATTATTATTATTATTATTATTATTATTATTTGTCATTTACAAAGACACAAAAGACGTACTTCAGGCTGTTAGAAAAGAAAACGAACAAAGACTTCAAAACCACCTCATTTCGCAAGGTTCTTTCTTTTCCAGTATCATGAATCATTCCACATCCACATTCAACTCGTTATGGTCATCCGTTCAGAGCAAACTTCCGAAAAACATTTTTAACTTCACCATCCGATATATCAATAACACACTTCCAACACGAAAGAACCTATCAAAATGGGGACTATCATCAACATTCGATTGCTCTTTCTGCTCCTCACCTGAAACGCTGCTCCATGTGATTGCTGGATGTAAGACATATTTAGACGAAGGCCGGTTTACATGGCTACACGATTCTGTTTTAAATTTCCTCGCATCCACTCTTACTGCTGTGAAAAATTCCACACTTTACGCGGACATTCCTGGTTTTATGAATCCATCTGTTATCACGGGAGATCGTTTACGACCTGACCTTCTGCTGGTGACTGAAAACAGATGTCTATACATCCTCGAGCTTACAGTTGGTTATGAATCCAATCTGCTAGTTAACGCCAATCGTAAGCGTCAAAAGTACCGTGATCTAATCAATGAGCAGGAAGCAGATTATGATAAAGTCAAGTTCGTCAATTTATCCTTGAGTACCCTCGGAGTTTTTGGCCGAACTTGTGAAAATTTCGATGGCATGCTAAGTAGCCTTAAATGTGATGCCAAGTATAGTAAATACATAAAAAAGCAAATCGTGAACATATGCATACGAACATCATATTATGTATTTTGTAAACGAAACAAAGTGTGGGATAACCCAAAATTAATGTTAATATGATCCTTCTTAAAATAATTATTCTACAATAAATATATAGCATCAATTCAAGTAGACATTGATAAACTACCTGTAAAGCGAGGTTTATCATTGCAGTTGTATATATCCTAATAATCAATAAATAAAGTTTCCATTATTTTTAAGTATTTATTAAATAGGAAGGAGGCACAACAAACGTGTGCCTTTACAATTCCAATTGAGTTAAATTACAATTACAATGATTAAAACTAGAGTTACAATATTATTATTATTATCATTATCATTATCATTATCATTATCATTATCATTATCATTATCATTATCATTATCATTATTATTATTATAAAAATATTAAAGCGTAAAATTATTAAAAATAATTAATTGTTAATAATTAATTATTAATAATTAATAATAATTAATTATTAATTAATTATTAATTATTAATTATTAATTATTAATTATTAATTATTAATTATTAATTATTAATTATTGAATATTAAAATTATATTAAAACGTTCAATCACGACAGTTACATTAGTAGAAATTTCGTTTTACGTTAAGAACGTCCTGAATAAGAATTCTTGCCTACTTCCATGCTTTCCAATGTCAGAATGCCTAAAGTATTTCAAGAAAACTCTATGTTCATTTAAAATTAATCCAAACAAACTGTTTTGTATTCCAAGCTGGATTCCGAAGTTATCCGATCCTATCGTAAACTTCAACCCCCAACATATCGCCAAGTTACAAACATTATTCGCAGAATGAAAGCTTCTGGATCGCCTTGTCCTTTAGATCAACTTTCAATAATTTGCTTCAAACGTTGTCCATTTTTGCGCACTTATCTAACCGAAGTGATACGTAGCGTCTGGTCTTCGAAATCTGTACCAGCTGAATGGAAAAAGCGTGTTCTCTTCTTATCCACAAAAAAGGCAATACAAGTGACCCCTCCAATTTGCTCCCAATTACTATAGAAACTATACCACTAAAAGTGTTTACCTCTTGTCTCCGCAATGCTATGTTCTCGTTCTGCTAATAACTTTATTGAACATCAGATTCAAAAAGGTTTCACTCACAATCTGTCTGGCACTCTGGAACACAACGCTCAAATGACAAATATTAGAGAGGTTAAGATACCCCGCGGTTCCGGTTTACGGGTACGAGTATCGCCATTTTGTTTATCAATTTTTGCCGATGTCAGCAATTTTACCCGTAATTTCTACCCGTTTCCCCGCGGTAAACCGTGGTCTACACGTAACGACAAACGGGTACGGGTGTTTTCTGTTTACTATTTTTGGGCCGTTTAAACCGTACAAATTTTCAATATCTTACCCAAATAAATAATGCACATATACTGGTCAAAGTTTTCAACAATTTATGGCCAACCTCAACAGCGAAAGTTGCCATTCTCTAATCGGTTTTCTCACGCCGAAGTATCTTGGATTTCTTAAGCTACAAGTTATTGTCCGATTTACGGGTGCGGACACATGTCTATCACCCGTATCCGTAAACCGGAATCGGGGTATCTAATTACCCTCTCTATTATCAACCAAGCGAGAATAAAGCAGCGCTCTGTTGTCATCACCCTTCTCGATCTCAAGAATGCTTTTGGTGAAGTGCATCATAATCTAATTCAATCTGTCCTCGACTATCATCACATTCCGAAAGACATTAGTGAAATAATAAAGAGCTTGTATATGGACTTCAATACTGCATTTATAACATCAGAATTCTCTACCCCATTTATAACTGTCGGTCGTGGAGTTCTTCAAGGAGACTGTCTTAGTCCTCTAATTATTAATATGTGCATCAATACCAATCTCGTTCCCCGAGCATGCCCGTTCGCAGGTTAAGGGTGGGCATAGCTCTGGAGAAATCGAATTGATTCAGGCCTGTGATTGGCTAACGGCAGATAGTACGTTGGATTTCCAACGTGAGTTCTATATAAACAAAGTATTTGGAATTTCTCGTCGAAAATTTGATACTTTTTACACTGAAATCGATTGAAAACAACTAGAAATTGTGGAGGAAATATGTGCGAAAGCTGCGGATTGATAGAGATACAAGTACCTGAAAAATACAGGGAGAACTTCGACGTTTCGAGCGAAGGCGCTTCGACTTGTGCTGTTTAATAGTGTTTGTATACATCGTACTTGACCTTTTATATACTGTCATACCTAACACTACGTATACCATAAATTCTGACAGAAGAGTTAAATGTAAATTTTAAAGCATAAAAATATATAATACTTATTATTGAGGAGATTATATGTATCAGCAAAGGTCAAGTACGATGTATACAAACACTAAACAGCACAGGTCCAAGCGCCTTCGCTCGAAACGTCGAAGTTCTCCTTGTATTTTTCAGGTAGCTGTATCCCTATCCAACCGAAGCTTTCGTACATATTTCCCCCAGAATTTTTAGTTGTTTTCAATTCAATTTCAGTGTAAAATGTATCAAACTTTCGACGCGAAATTCTAAATACTTCATTTATATTTTGCAACATTGCCGAGCATGCGTAGAACTCACGTTGGAAATTCAACGTGAATCAATTCGATTTCTCCAGAGCTATGCCCACCCTTAACCTGCGAACGGGCATGCTCGGGGAACGAGATTGCATCAATACCTTTATTCAACATATAAAAACTGACAAATACCGGCAATTTGGTTTCATTACAAATCTTTTAAACCCAGTCCATTGGTTCCAGTTCGCTGATGATGCTGCGGTAATAAGCGGTCAAGATTCAGAAAATCAAAATCTTTTAAATCGATTCTCGATCTGGTGCCAGTGGTCTAACATGATTGTCAGGGTTGATAAGTGTTCAACATTTGGGGTCAGGAAAAGTCTGACAAAATCTATCCAATATTTACCTAAACTTCTGATTAACAATGAATTGATACCTGCCACTAAAATTGGAGAGTCGTTTCGATACTTGGGGAAATATTTTGACTTCAGTATGTCCGAAAAAAAACACAAACAAGAGCTAATCACTCTCATGGACGACATTATGTCTGAAATTGCTCTCAAACCTTTGCACCAGAAAAATAAACTTTTGCTTTATAGTCGTTACCTCCTATCCAAACTTTCATGGCATTTCACTGTAACCACCTTATCAAAAACCTGGGTCTCTAAAAATATGGATTCTGTGGTGAACAAGTACGTACGTAAATGGCTTGAAATACCTATATCAGGAACTCTATCTAACGTCTACCTTACCAGTAACAAGTTTGGTCTAAATATCTACCCGCCGTCAATTAAGTTTGCTCAGTGCCAAACAGTTGCTCGTAACGCCTTAAAGACCTCTGCAAATCATTCCATAAAAGACCTCTGGAAAACAACATCTGAAAGCAAAAACATTCAGTACGACGTATACACCTCGACAAAGGAAGTCCTTAAAACTTTTACCTCGGGACAAGAAGACAAACTGCAGAATCATTTGATTTTGCAAGGCTACTTCTTCTCAAATGTCATTAAGTTTTCACTGTCGAAATTAAACGGCATATGGTCTATTAAAATCCCAATCAAACCTCCCAAAGAACATCTATAACTTCATCATTCGTTACATCAATAACTCACTTCCAACTCGTAAATACCTTACTAAATGGGGAATATTGCCAACTCTGATTGCTCCTTCTGCTTAAACTCTGAAACCCTTTTACACGTAGTTGCTGGATGTCATGCGTACCTCCCACGATTTACATGGAGACATGATTCTGTTCTGAACTTCATAGCACAAACGCTACAACCTGTAAACAACTCCAATCTTTTCGTCGATCTTCCTGGTTATAATAGCCCATCAATTGTAACTGGTGACACATTCCGCCCAGACCTACTTCTACAAAGACTGGACTAGCCCAGAGCTTCTAAAATTTTGAACAATATTAAATTTCCTATTTTTGTAAATTTATATAATCCAAACGTTTTGAAGTAGTCATCGATAAACTACCTTTATGAGCGAGGTTTATCAATGTAAATATAGTTTTATGGTATATTAAGAAATAAATAAAGTTTCCATTATTATTATTATTATTATTATTATTATTATTATTATTATTATTATTATTATTATTATTATTATTATTATTATTATTATTATTATTATTATTATTATTATTATTATTATTATATTTATTATTATTATTATTATTATTATTATATTTTATTCCATCAGTAAATATTGTAATCATGATTCGCTCAAGTTCCATATTAATGTTGTTGACCTGCGTCGTTTGTTCGTTCTGTGACAAAGATTTCGTTACACTCGGTCGACATTCATGGCGATGTAAACAGCGAGTTAATTACGCAGAACAAGATCACTCTGCCGAAAATACGGCAAGGCAAACGCCCGTCATGAATTCTCCTAATGTCGTCGTGTCAAGTCGAACCGTAATCAAGTGTTGCCGTGGTAAAGCATGTAAAGGAGCGCGAGGATTAAAGATGCATCAACGCAGTTGTAGAGTTATTCAAGGTCTAGACAGTGAATTCCGTACAGACCTAGAGGAACAAAACAATTCTGACACGGAAAATATTCCTGAAATGGACCAATCGACAATCAACGAAACTCCTATGGTTGAAAAGGAAGATATTGCGAATTTAAGAAAAGGTATTAAACTCCCTAAAAGCAATTCCGAATGGTCAACGGCCAACGAACATTTCAAATTCGCTCTTCAGTCCAATGATCTAATCACATCACAAGATTTAAATTCCAACATAAAACTATTAAATGACATCATATACGATTACTTCGCCCAAAACTTTGGTTATAGCGAATCAGTGCCTGACAATTCGCTACTAAATAGATATAAGGACTATGAAATCAAGGATTTGAAAAAAGCTCTGAAAACCCTTAAATCAACGAATGGTGAACTAGACGAAATTAAATATGTGTCGCATATATTGCGTGATAAGCTTCGAACACGTTCTACTATAGGGTCCAATATTCTATTTAACAGAATTTGAGAGGAAAATGAAAGAAAACACTAAAAAATGCAATGAATACAGCCATGACTGTGGAGAAATTATACATAAATGCAATAATTCTGCATGAAAACAAGAATTCCTTTTCAAACATGATAAAAATTGGTTAAAAACATAAGAATAATTGCAAATGTGGACAATGACAAATTTCATGTTTTAATAGGAAAATCACATCAAATGCAGGTTAAAAATGACTGAAAATATATTCAGCAAAAACATACACATTTTGCAACAATTTTAGCTTTTCCAAGTTGCAAGATATGACTAAAATGATACTAAATCTCTAAGAGGAAAAATCTGCTAAAAAATTTGGGCAAAATTTATTGTTTTTAGCAAAGTGAGTAAAATGCATGTGAATAAAAAGGAAAAAAAAGAGGAAAATGTTATAGTTCCAAAATATGTCTGGAGGCAGCCACAGTCAGTGAAAATTATATATCAAGAACATGCCACCTTCGATATATCGAAAACTCTAAACTATCCAATGCTTCGATATATCGAAAAAATGCCATTTCTTCAATATATCAAAAGATTCCAATTTCCTCGATACAACGAAAGAATGCCATTTCTTCGATATATCGAAAGAATGCCATTTCTTCAATATATCGAAAGAATGCCATTTCTTCGATATATCAAAAGAATGCCATTTCTTCGATATATCGAAAGAATGCCATTTCTTCGACATATCGAAAGATTGCAATTTCTTCGACATATTGAAAACTAAACTATACATGGCTTCTATATATTGAAAGAATGCCATTTCTTCGATATATCAAAAGATTGCCATTTTTTCAATGTGTCGAAAACTCTAAACTATCCATGGTTTCGATACATCAAAAAAATGGCATTGTTTCGATATATCGCAGAAATGACATTCTGTCAAATACAATATGTGAAAAACCAAAAGGATGTCATGTCTTGCCAAAGGATGTCATGTCTTGCCAAAACAAGCCATGTTTTAAATATTGATAGTAAAACAACAAAATAGGGCACAATTCAGCTCAATGGGTTAGCAATATGGTATACACTCAAAATATAACACATTCTACGATAGGGTTGTATATTCTATTTAGCTATAATCAAAATAATCACATGTACAGTCAGGGTCGCCAAGAGGGGGGGGGGGGATTGCCCTGGGCCCCCACCTTAATAGGGCCCCAACTTGAGAGCAAGAGCCTAAAATTGAGTAGGTTCTATAAAGAGCATTTTTGAAATTGAGGGCTACTTACAGTACCTCCACATGCAGTCTATCTAAGGTTTAGTTGGGTCTAGCTTAAAAATAATGTCATGGGGTCCCCAGGGAAGGTTTGCCTCGGGCCCCGCAAATTCTCTAGGCGGCCCTGTGTACAGTATAGCTAGCTATATTAATTATACATATACAACAACAGCATGTATATATCTATATTGACTAAAATCATTTCATTAGACAGTACGGTATGGTAACAACTAAATTCAGTTTTAAGAGTTTCTTCTGCCCTAATAACTATTGCTTTAAGCAACTTTCCCACGACAATGCATTTGGACCCAGTAACATGCAGACCACTGCAGATAAACCAGTCTCACAGCAGCGATGTAATACATCAAAGAGTTTATCTTCACAAAACATTACATGGTACTGATTATATACCTTCTTATATAGCTGTGCTACTGTCAATCTCCTTTATCAGGTGGTCTGAACCCTCTATGGTTAAACCCGGTTCTTTTGTGTTTGATCTACTACAACATGCAAAAGTGATATATCATTTGGTTTACATCAATCTAAAAGAATGGAAAAAACTATAAGAACACACACCATTAAAATGATTACAGTTTTTACTGCCAATCAAAGAACACAAGAGAATCAGATATATAATGGCATACCGTGAACCTCCAAACATATGCCCTGGGCTTATATTCGTTCGTAAAGATTTTTTGATGGGGGCTTAATGTACAGGGCCCTTATATACTTTTGTGAAGTGTGAACCATTGCCTCAGTCAAAACACGTTCATGACTAGTGGCAGACATGTTGCAAAATATATGAACATTTAAACCTTTCTTGCTTGAATTAATAAACAGATGGGGAAATAGTCTGGTCAACCCGTTGAGCGCCAGCACTCTGCCCTGATCAAGTATAAAATTATCAAACTGGCGTCAGACAGAGTAAAATAATCTAGAAAAATTTACTGAATATTGAAGAGTAGAAGTGATGATCATTCCTATGTTGTACAGTTAAAACACAGACAAGAAGGGATATGTATTTAATAAATGTAAACAATATTTTTGGGACCGCTTCAAACGTTCAAACAAATCTACCAACCTGAAATTCGCACTATTTTGACCTCGATCTTGACCATGATCTGGACCTTGGCAGCAAATATTGAACGCTCTTCCCTTCGATTTGATCTTTCGACAGAATCGACTGTTTAGCTTTAATTTTGTTAAATATTTAATATTCATGTTCATTATTCATATCCAAGCACTGTCCTCACAAAGATTTACCATAGTATAGCTATTATAACGCTAATATACGCCGTTGAATGCGATTCGAATTCAAAATTTATAGATATTGTGCGCCAAAGAACGAACAATAACCAACTGTTTATGAAAAGAAACACGACGATATCCATAAAAGGACATAATCGAAACAGCTCGCTTCGAGTTCGGTAAAAAATAGTACCAACATGCTTTGCGCACCACGATTCTTTCTTGTCGCCATATTTCATATTTGCGAATATTGAAATCGTTTGCTTCTTTATCGTCGGAATATTTGAATATTTATCACTTCTCCACGCAGGAATACTTAAATATTAAATCAAGCAAGGTATGTACTACATCAATTGCTATTTATTTCCCCAGAAGAGAGAGTACAATCTCAATATCTCAGGACCATATTGTAACGGAATTTTATTTTGTTGGTTTACAACTCGTGTATAAAATACATGAGAAAAATTTTGTCTTCAGTTAATACAGTAACAATTCCACAGGATGTTGGCCTCTCTGCAACTGATTTATTTCTTACAAAGACAACATTTTTCTTCGCTTGACAGCTTTTTGATAATGTAATATTTATAACAATATTTCTTGGGCATCTCACTTGATTGAGGTCATTGAACTTAATAATATTGAATTATGAATGAATGTGAAGAAGTTTGTACATGGTCTATAAACAATAGGCTTTTCACATCCAAGCATTGCCAATGGAGGAGTGGGGTGAGGGCACTAAGGGGCGATCCCTACATGTAGCTTCAAATTAAATATGTACCTTGGTCATTTTAACCTGATTTGTATGGCCTGTTCAAATGAGCCATAATAATATTAGCATAGAAAATTACATTTACATTTTGTTCATGTAAGGAAGCACAAACTATTAGCCCAGTTGGTCAGATCCCAGATTTGTTGAAATGAGAGACCGGGCATTTTAATTTTAATGAAAGCATTGTGAGAATTATCGGTGTTCTATCAATAGGCATAGCATCATTAAGAAAAAGCTAACTGCAACTACTAGGGTATACAAGGCACTGTTATCAATGTGTCTAATTTGATCCATTGCTGAGGATGACTAAAATATAATCGAAAAGTAGAATTACCATTGTGTGCTTTATGAAAATACGTAGTGCTTCCCATAATCACCATTCATTAATAATATCAATTCCTCCTTAGGATTATGTTGACGAGGGCTATATGTAACAAACCATTCATTGGTGACGCTAGATGATCTTCATTCAAGATTCATTATCGGAAAGGAATCATCAGCAAGAAATGGTCTTTTCATTGGCTGATAAAAATGAACCTTGGGCAGATGTTTGCCAGGTTGTATATTTCTTGTAGCCTTTGACTTGCATAAGGAAAAGAAAATATATACTGACACTACATGCTAGATGACGAACTCATTGTTGAAGAACATTTTAGTATTGTTTATATAAAAAAGAACACTGTAAAGTCACCTTGTACTGGACAGAGTAATGTAATAAGTGCAGAGCTCGGCACAGCTAATTTACATTACCATTTGCAGTCTAAATGGTAATAAATGTGATATTTTACATTCATCCAGCTTTACTGTCTTACATTTTGAGGAGCATTACAGTACAAAACTTAAATGTGCCCTACTTGCCTACTGCCCTTTCATTATATTACTCTATCTAACAGCATATAAGGTTATATTTCATTAAGGGGTTGAGTCTTATTAATAGTTTATTTGTGAATTTATTTAAATATATATCATTTTGATATTGAGCATAATAGTTTTCACCTAAATACATTGTGCTTTATATATTTTCTATTTATGTGTATAATGCTAAATTGAATAGAATGTTATTTTTTGCTAAAATGTGTTGATTTAGGTTATGTTAGATGTCACTAAGATGGTTTCGATAAATCGAAACATTGACATGGTCTCGATAAATCGAAACATTGACATGGTCTCGATAAATCGAAACATTGGCATAGTCTCGATAAATCGAAACATTGACATGGTCTCGATAAATCGAACCATGACATTGTCTTCGATAAATCGAAACATTGACATGGTCTCGATAAATCGAAACATTGGCATAGTCTCGATAAATCGAAACATTGACTTGGTCTCGATAAATCGAAATATTCACATGGTCTCGATAAATCGAAACATTCACATGGTCTCGATAAATCGAAACATTGACTTGGTCTCGATAACTCGAAACATTCACATGGTCTCGATAAACTGAAACATTCACATGGTGTCGATAAATCGAAACATTGATATAGTTTCCATATATAAATTGATCAGAGATGCCTTTGGTTAAACCAACATATTTTGACTGTTAGCTGTCATGCTACTTTTGCATTATTTGATCCTTTTCAGAACAGTCCATAAAATGTATTGTTAATTTTAGGTAAATTTGATTGTTTTAGCAAGAGAAGAAAATTTGCATTCTTTTTTTTGCACAAAAGGTGTTTTTAAGCACCAATTTTTCTGTTTTTTTCAGTTTTGGACAAATTTGTTTAAAAATACGAAAATTGGCACCATTTTTGGCTAAATAGAATATTGGACCCTATAGTAGAACGTGTTTTCGCTCAAACAATAACAATGAGCCAAGTCTAGACAGCAGCCAGTCACTTAACCATGACAAATATATCGGGAAAAATTTCTGGGGTTATGTCAAGAATATTCTAAGGAAGAAAGACACTATATTACCATCTTTCAACATGACGCAATGCCTATCCCACTTCACTAAGACCCTTGCTGCAATTCATCCAAACAAATTGTTCAATATTCCTAGCTGGATTCCTGCGTTGTCTGACCCCGAAGTTCAATTTGACCTTGACCCCCCATCGTATCAACAAGTCACGAATATAATACGCAGAACGAAGGCATCTGGCTCTCCATGTCCCCTTGATCAGCTATCTATTATATGTTTTAAACGTCCTTTCCTAAGCACATATTTAACTGACCTTATTCGTGCCGTGTGACTATCTGGAACCATCCCTTCCGAATGGAAGAAAGCTTGCACAATACTAATCCATAAAAAAGGCGATACTAATACCCCGTCCAATTTCCGACCCATCACACTGGAGACCATACCATTAAAAGTATTCACTTCCTGCCTACGTAACGCTATGTATTCATTCCTAACCGTTAATAACTTTATTGAACATAATATTCAAAAAGGATTCACACCTAACATGTCTGGCACCTTAGAACATACTGCACAAATGGCCAATATAATCAATAAAGCCCGAATCAAACAACGCTCACTAGTCATCACCCTACCTGACCTCAAGAATGCTTTTGGTGAAGTTCATCATAATCTGATCACATCCGTACTTGATTACCACCATATCCTTGAACATGTTAAATTGATAATTAAACGTCTATATACCGATTTAAAAACTTCAATAATTACATCTGAATTCCGTACCCCCTTCATACCAGTTCGCCGTGGAGTATTGCAAGGTGATTGCCTGAGTCCTCTTCTCTTCAACATGTGTTTCAACACCTTTATACAACACATAAAAACAGATAAATATCGTCAATTCGGCTTCTCCTTACAGTTTATAAATCCCATCCACTGGTTTCAGTTTGCTGATGATGCCGCCGTCATAAGTAGTCAAGAATCCGAAAATCAACATCTTCTAAACCGATTCTCCATTTGGTGCCAATGGTCCAACATGATTATTCGGGTTGATAAATGTAGTACCTTTGGCATCAAAAAAGCTCTAACAAAATCAATCCAATACTTGCCTAAACTACTTATTAACAAGCAACTAATTCCAAAGATCAATATCGGTGCGGCTTTTCAATACTTAGGAAGATACTTTAGTTTTAATATGTCAGACGAACACCACAAGTCTGAACTAATCTCACTCGTTGAAGAACTAATGGCAGATATTGATTCCAAACCATTACATCCAAAAAATAAAATCCTCCTCTACAGTCGATATCTTCTGTCCAAATTATCCTGGCATTTTACAGTTTCTAGCGTCTCGAAAACGTGGGTCACCGAAAACATTGATTCCAAAGTCAACAGTTATATCCGTAAATGGCTTGATATACCTATATCTGGAACGCTAAGCACTGTTTTCCTAACCCGCAACAAGTTTGGCCTCAGTATTTGTCCCCCATCTGTCAAATTTATTCAATGTCAAACTGTTCTCCGTAAAGCCCTAAAAACATCCCCAAACGAAGCAATTAACGATCTTTGGAAAGCAACTAGCAACAGCAAAAATATTCAGTATGACGTTTATAACTCCACTAAGCAAGTTCTTAAGGACTTTCGCTCTGGACAAGAGGATAAACTGCATACTCAACCTGTCAAGGCTCTTTCTTCACTAATATAACAAAGTTCTCACTGTCCCAACTCACTAAAATTTGGTCTGCGTGCCAATCGAACCTTCCGAAAAACATATTCAACTTTACAGTTCGATACATCAATAACTCTCTTCCAACGCGCCAAAACCTTGCAAGATGGAGTTTATCACCGACTTCAGACTGTTCGCGATGTCTAGCTCCTGAGACACTTCTGCACGTAGTAGCTGGTTGCCAATCGTATCTGGAACGATTCACGTGGAGACACGACTCCGTTCTAAACTTTCTCGCAACAAGCCTGCAGACCGTAAGCGGCTCACATCTTTACGTGGATCTCCCAGGGTACAAATGTCCATCAATCATCACTGGTGACACCTACCGTCCAGATTTGCTTCTTTCAACCTCAACCGGAACACTCTATATTGTTGAACTTACAGTTGGCTTCGAATCAAATCTTCAAAAAAACGTTGAGCGTAAAAAATCAATATATAAAGAATTAATTAGGGAACAAAATGAACATTTCAACTCAGTAAAATTTGTAAATCTTTCGATTAGTTCTCTTGGTGTTTTCAGTAAAGAATGTTCTACTTTCATAGAAATGCTTAATAATTTTGGTTTTCAAAAGCAACATCAGAATTACTGTATTAGAAGAATGACGACGATTGCAATCAGAACAACGTATTATATATTTTGTTGTCGAAACAAGGAATGAATGCATCCGGAACTGTTAAGTGTTTAAACGTTGTACTGTCATTCTGTTATCTTAATAGTATAATTTTTGCATATATAATCAGTGATTTAAGTAGCCAGTTGTAAATTACCTGATATAAGTGAGATTTGCAATTGTATATATAAGCTAAATATCCATTTAATAAAGTTTTCATTATTATTATTATTATTATTATTATTATTATTCACCTGTATATATCAGTTTTAGCTTTAAATTCAATTCAAGTGGACATCGATAAGCTACCTTTTATTAAGTGAGGTTTATCAATGTATATATAGTATATCGTAAATATCTAATAAAAAGTTTCCATTATTATTATTATTATTATGTTCTACTTTCATAGAAATGCTTAATGATTTTGGTTTTCAAAAGCAACATCAGAATTACTGTATTAGAAGAATGACGACGATTGCAATCAGAACAACGTATTATATATTTTGTTGTCGAAACAAGGAATGGATGAATCCGGAACTGTTAAGTGTTTAAACGTTGTACTGTCATTTTGCTATCTTAATAGTATAATTTTTGCATATATAATCAGTGATTTAAGTAGCCAGTTATAAATTACCTGATATAAGTGAGACTTGCAATTGTATATATAAGCTAAATATCCATTTAATAAAGTTTTCATCATTATTATTATTTAATAATAATAATAATTTAATTGTTTAGAAGCTCGATAAAATTGTACAAAGTAAAGATTAAAATTCATTATATAAAATAAATATATGTTTTGGTCTATACTAATAATATTAAAAAATTGTCATTTTGTTCTAAGTGTGTTTTTTTTTAAAACCAAACAATCTTTTAAATAAAATGTTTTTAACTACTAGTATATTCTGGCAATTTCTGTCTCAATATCTATGTCTGTATCTTTAACATCACATTGTTTCTTTCCCGTTATTCTCGATCCTCGAAGACGTAGGAGAGCAGATCTAATGATCGAAAATGATATCTTTGCTCTTATCCAAGTCATTGTTTTTGAATACTTTTCTCCCTTTTTTATGGCAATTAATTCTGCTAATCGACTCTGATATTTCTTGCATTCTTCACCCATACCACCAGTTGTTGTAAAAATTAACGGCGTGAATGTTCCTTGTTCTATATCAGTAACTCGTTGGTTATACATTCGTTTCTCCTCATTTTCATGCATACGATAAATCTGCTTTGGGGTTAACTCTTTATAAAATTCCGCATTTGGGTGGCATACCCGGACATCGATGAATGCTGATCTTTGTCTTTCCCAAAAGCCACGTGCATGAACATCCAACATCTTGTGATTTGTTTGACGCTGAGTTTAGCACTTCACCATTTATTTCTTGCAGAGCTGGTTCAATTTGGACATCGTTACAGACAATATTCAACAGCGCAGCTTTCAGATCTCGTAATGCGTGATGGCATTGAATGATAAAACCTCCTTTCGTACATATCATAGCATGGTCGGTATTGAAAAGATCTCCACATGCACATCTTGTTGGATTATCCTTGAACGGCCAATCATATCTCAATTTCAATGCATCTCTAAACTCCCGCTTGTTTAAATTAAGGTCCATCTCGGATACAGGGACGACTGTTAACCAGGAGGAGGCTCCTTTCTCTGAGGCAAGCTCTATCATTCGTTTCATCTTCGGTGGTGCCGAGTCAATGACGGATTTAGCCATTACATTTAAAGTATCGTTCTTCTCTTTTCGTGCCATTTGCTTCAGCTCATGTACTCCTGAATCATCAGGAAGTTCGTGTATTTGCTCTTGAATTTGTCGTACCAATAGTGTTCTTACATTTCTTGATACCGAATATTCCAATGTTGCTTCAATGCATGGATTTTTGACCCCAATACCACCTTTTTTAACAATTAAGGCTAGAATTTCGCGCTCTAGTGGGGAACATTTGTGATCAACCGAAGCTGGCAGGAGGAATTTTGTAATCGCTTCTTCTAATGGTTGCAACAGGTCTTAAATATCAGGTAATGTTCGAAGGAAGTACGTCCATCGATGTTTCAGCCCAAAAGTGCAAGTTGCATAGCTTGCTTGAGGTTGTGTTGTTGCAAAATCAGCCAAATTGATTATCTCTTACAACCAATTGGTCAACCTTTTCGTTGACATATTCGTTCAGGTATGACCTTGAACCAACAACTGCTCCTAAATGCATTTTTCCTTCTGTCGTGATATTTATCTCTGTTTCTTTAAATCACGATGATTGGTTGCTATTCAGTTTGCTCCCGGAGTCAATTAGCGAGTGTTGTTAGTTTCCCGTATCCTGCTGTGATTATTGGCGCGGTTAAAATACCCCGTCTTTAGCGCTCTCGTTTGCGTTTATTTTAAAACATTTTTGAAATAATACTTGCCCAATTAGTACTTCCTTGAACCGTTTAGAGATATTGCAGCGCAAACTAGTTATAGGAGACATTCAAAGCGGTAAATTATGGTGTTATTATGGGCATGTATTTTCGCATTCCGGTCGAAGGATATCACGCCCACATGGACAAATTCTACCATCTAGGGGTCCCACAACACCACACGTGTATGCCCTACAATCTCCCTTTGAAACCCCCCTGGATTTATAGCATTGCCAGAATTATAAGCAGAAATAGCTGAAAATTCCGCATTTTTCCTTGTATTTTTCAAATATTTTCGCTAAAACGTAAATTTGGAGACACTTCCCAAATCAAAGTTGAAGAATATCATTTACTAAAGAACTTCTAATGGCTAGCAGTAACGAAGAAAGGTGAGAAGAAAATATCCTTTGGCAAACTCATTTGCATTTAATAGCATATTCGTGACTCGCCATGGTGTTGCTTCACCACCCGCTGTGTTTTATTTTAGCTCGATAGTATTTTGCTCTAAAACCAAATTGTGTGACCGAAATAAAGGTCATCCCGGAACATGCAACAAGAAGGGACAACAACAAAAGCGATTTGGGAAGATTCTCCGTATTTTAAACTCAGAAAAGACCAAGGCGACTTGACACGCAAGTCACGCGAAGTGAATACGAAAGAAGCGGAAGTTAAAATTTCGCAGGAAAATCTTGCTAAACAACGCGAAGAGTTGAATTCACATGAGACATCCGTTCAAGAAAGAGTCGATGCTGCCAGTAAGTATTATAAAATTTTGATCTGTGACTTTTTATGCCAATACATTGAATATTTATGCTTGCCCTTTTGTACTGTACCAACTACCAATATCCGGACCATTTATGCTGATTTGTCGTCATTCTCTAATCCTTCTACAACCACTGATGATGATTATCGGCCTGATTTACTAATTTTGACGAAAGACAATTGTCCGTATATTCTGGAATTAACCGTTGGATATGAGACTAACCTCAGAAATAATGTTAACAGGAAATACTCCAAGTACAAAGATATGATTACGGAACAAAAGAAAAATTATCATGCGGTAAACTTCATCAACCTTTCGATTAGTGCACTTGGTGTGTTTGACAAGGAATCTTCTGGTTTTATAGTTATTAATTTAGATAAAGCTCATGTAAGATACGTTATTAAAAAGATTATTAATATTGCAATAAGGTCAACCTACTACATTTTTTGTTGTCGAAATAAGAACTGGGTGAATCCGGACTTTGATGAAACTTTAATTTTTTTATTGTATAAGTATGTATATAGAGTAATAGAGAAAATTTAATCGTGCGTTATAAAATCATTTAATAGTAATATATCAAGTTGCCAATTGTAAATTACCTTATATAGTGAGATTAAATAAAGTTTCCATAATTATTATTATTATTATTTTTATTATTATTATTATTTCTATTATTATTATTATTATTATTATTATTATTATTATTATTATTATTATTATTATTATTATTATTATTATTATTATTATTATTATTATTACTATTATTATTATTATTATTATTATTATTATTATTATTGTATTATTATTATCAGCATTGAGCAGAGCAGCATTGTTTATACGCGCTCTGTACATGTTGTTCGTTTTATCGCTATTTTCTTACTTGAACCACAGTTTATTAATAAAAAATATTATAACTATTGGATTTACTGGGATATAAATCATGATTCGTTCAAGCCTTGTTGCTATGTTGGCAATCTGCGCAGTTTGCTCGTTCTGTGGCAAAGACTTCGTTACGCTGGGCCGTCATTCATGGCGTTGTAAAGAAAAAATAGATCAAGATCGTCCTGCTAACACAGTCAATCAAAATATGTCGGTTATGCATTCTCCTGTCAGAATCTCAAACACCAACGATGTTAAGTGCTATTGTGGTAAATCATGTAAATGTACGCGGGGGCTTAAAATGCACCGACGTAGTTGTCGTGTAATACATGGTTTAAATGATGAATTGCTTACAGACCTTGAACAGCAATATACTGAGAACTTGAGTACGAATACTTCTACTCATTCTACATTTGACGAAATTGATGTAATCGAAAATATTGCGAGCGATCAGAATTTTTCAGTGTTGAAGAAAGGGGTAAAGCTTCCCAAAAGCGACGTACAATGGTCAACGGCTGACAGTTATTTCAAATTTGAATTGCAACTAAATGCGCCAATCAGAACCGAAGATCTAAGCTCAAGCATTACGCTAATGAATGATGTTGTCTACAACTATTTCGCTGATAACTTCGGTTATGTTGAGAAGATGCCGGATAAAGAGCTAGTGAATAAGTATAAAGATCAAACAGTAAAAGCCTTAAAGAAATGTCTAAAGCAACTAAAGCTATCGAATGCTGATCCTCACGAAATCAAATATGTAGCTCGCACATTGCGTGATAAGTTGCGTAATGCCTGTCAAATCAATACAACTCAAAACGAAAACAAAATGTTCAATCATGACAATTACATTAGTAGAAATTTCTGGGGTTACGTTAAGAACGTCCTGAATAAGAATACTTGCCTACTTCAATGCTTTCCGATGTCAGAATGCCTAAACTATATCAAGAAAACTCTATGTTCAATTAACCCAAACAAACTGTTTTGTATTCCAAGCTGGATTCCGAAGTTATCCGATCCTATCGTAAACTTTGACCTTCAGCCCCCAACATATCGCCAAGTTACAAACATTATTCGCAGAATGAAAGCTTCTGGATCGCCTTGTCCTTTAGATCAACTTTCAATAATTTGCTTCAAACGTTGTCCATTTTTGCGCACTTATCTAACCGAAGTGATACGTAACGTCTGGTCTTCGAAATCTGTACCAGCTGAATGGAAAAAAGCGTGTTCTATTCTTATCCACAAAAACGGCAATACAAGTGACCCCTCCAATTTCCGCCCAATTACTCTAGAAACTATACCACTAAAAGTGTTTACCTCTTGTCTCCGCAATGCTATGTTCTCGTTCCTAACTGCTAATAACTTTATTGAACATCAGATTCAAAAAGGTTTCACTCCCAATCTGTCTGGCACTTTGGAACACACTGCTCAAATGACAAATATTATCAACCAAGCGAGAATAAAGCAGCGCTCTGTTGTCATCACCCTTCTCGATCTCAAGAATGCTTTTGGTGAAGTGCATCATAATCTAATTCAATCTGTCCTCGACTATCATCACATACCCAAAGACGTTGGTGAAATAATAAAGAGCTTGTATACGGACTTCAATACTGCATTTATAACATCAGAATTCTCTACCCCATTTATAACTGTCGGTCGTGGAGTTCTTCAAGGAGACTGTCTTAGTCCTCTAATTTTTAATATGTGCATCAATACCTTTATTCAACATATAAAAACTGACAAATACCGGCAATTTGGTTTCATTACAAATCTTTTAAACCCAGTCCATTGGTTCCAGTTCGCTGATGATGCTGCGGTAATAAGCGGTCAAGATTCAGAAAATCAACATCTTTTAAATCGATTCTCGATCTGGTGCCAGTGGTCTAACATGATTGTCAGGGTTGATAAGTGTTCAACATTTGGGATCAGGAAAAGTCTGACAAAATTTATCCAATATTTACCTAAACTTCTGATTAACAATGAATTGATACCCAAGGGTGGGTAGTAGCGAAGTAGTTGTAGTTCGCTACTGTAGCGAACTACAATTTTCAAGTAGCCAGTAGTTTTTGACTACTTTTTTAAAACAGTAGCTGTAGTTATAGCGAACTACATTTTGCCTAAAAGTAGCCAAGAAGTTGGCTACTTTTCATACAGCGAATCGCTATTCGCTACTTTTTAAAATTGTTAGTAACTTGATAGAATAGCATGATATTGAGACACGGTCTGCTTAAAATCAATACTCAAAAGTCAATTTGCACGCCTGAACACTGTAGTGCTTTCAATGTTGCTTTGTGTTTACTGTTGTTACTCGTAAATCAATTTGTTATAGGTTACATTCCAGCCTGAGTTAATAGATGCTCCAAATACAGTAAAACTAAAAATATAGAGTAGCGAAATAGCGAAATAGTTCGCTACATTTTTTAAGCAGTAGCTGTAGTCAGTAGCGAACTACCTTTCTTTAAAAGTAGCAGTAGTTGTAGCTGACTACATATTTTTGAAGTAGCTGTAGTTATAGCGAACTACAAAAAATTTGTAGTCAACCCACCCTTGTTGATACCTGCCACTAAAACCGGAGAGTCGTTTCGATACTTGGAGAAATATTTTGACTTCAGTATGTCCGAAAAAGAACACAAACAAGAGGTAATCACTCTCATGGACGACATTTTGTCTGAAATTGATCTCAAACCTTTGCACACGAAGAATAAACTTTTGCTTTATAGTCGTTACCTCCTATCCAAACTTTCCTGCCATTTCACTGTAACCACCTTATCAAGAACCTGGGTCACTGAAAATATGGATTCTGTGGTGAACAAGTACATACGTAAATGGCTTGAAATACCTATATCAGGAACTCTATCTAACGTCTACCTTATCAGTAACAAGTTTGGTCTAAATATCTACCCGCCGTCAATTAAGTTTGCTCAGTGCCAAACAGTTGCTCGTAACGCCTTAAAGACCTCTGCAAATAATTCCATAAAAGACCTCTGGAAAACAACATCTGAAAGCAAAAACATTCAGTACGACGTATACACCTCGACAAAGGAAGTCCTTAAAACTTTTACCTCGGGACAAGAAGACAAACTGCAGAATCATTTGATTTTGCAGGGCTACTTCTTCTCAAATGTCATTAAGTTTTCACTGTCGAAATTAAACGGCATATGGTCTATTAAAATCCCAATCAAACCTCCCAAAGAACATCTATAACTTCATCATTCGTTACATCAATAACTCACTTCCAACTCGTAAAAACCTTACTAAATGGGGAATATTGCCAACTCTGATTGCTCCTTCTGCTTAAACTCTGAAACCCTTTTACACGTAGTTGCTGGATGTCATGCGTACCTCCCACAATTTACATGGAGACATGATGCTGTTCTGAACTTCATAGCACAAACGCTACAACCTGTAAACAACTCCAATCTTTTCGTCGATCTTCCTGGTTATAAAAGCCCATCAATTGTAACTGGTGACACATTCCGTCCAGATCTACTTCTATCCATCAACTTGGATTGTCTCTATATCCTTGAACTTTCTGTTGGTTATGAGTCTAATCTACAAACAAATGTTGATCGGAAAAGAAGAAGATACGAAGATCTCATTACACAGCAAAAGAAACAATTTAAGTCCGTAAAATTTGTCAATTTGTCAATTAGTTCTTTGGGCGTCTTCCCAAAAGAATGTCATTCCTTTTTAGATATGTTAAATGATCTAGGTCTTGATAAAAGACACCAACATTTTGCTATCAGGAAAATTATGTCTATCGCGATTAGGACAACATATTATATATTTTGTTGCAGAGATAAGGACTGGTCAAATCCGGAATTACTGAACATTTAAGGATACTCATTATTAATATATAAATATTAAGTAGGTTCAAGTAGCCAATTATAAATTACCTAAATTAGTGAGATTTATAATTGTATATATACGTATATAATTTCAATAAAGTTTCCATTGTTATTATTATTATTATTATTATTATTATTATTATTATTATTATTATTATTATTATTATTATTATTATTATATGAAATTCATAATTTTGTAACTTTTAGGCGATTTGTAAGGATATTCTTAAAAAGTTATCGTGTTACCATGACCACTACTTTAGATTCTTCATGTTCGGAAAATGCAATGGTTTTGTCAGCAAGGCGAGGATTTCTGCATGCATGTATTTTCCAGTCTATATATAATCTTACGCTAAGGATTTTAAATTAACACCATCAATCTTTCTAAAACTACGAAATATAAATCAATTATTGTATAAACTCGGGGTTTCAAGGTTTCATAAATCTTACCTGTCAGAAGAAGTGGTTTTTTTTATAGCGTATTCTTGCAAAACGGAGGGAAGGGAACATAAAGTTTCCGCGGATATGTTCCAAAAGCGACAAACCGTAAAATATTTGACCAAAACGTGTTGGTGAATGTCTTTTTCGGATGCTTAGGAAAGCGGTTGGTTATTGATAACTACCATAAAACGGGTGACGCGAAAATCCGCCATCCCTCCAGTAGTAATAGACAGAATCCACCCAGTAGTAATAGGAAGATTAAGGTCGAGGACGAGGACGTCAAAGTCTATATGAAAATTTCGTCAAAATGGCGTGGCATATCAATATATGGGCACAACACGCTATTTTCACGTCGTCTTTGACGTCCGCATCCTCAATATAAACCTATCTAATATCGCTTAGTGGAGCGAACCAGTTAAAATAGAAGAACATTTATCAGAAGAATATTTCTCTTTTACGAATTATTTGCTAGGCAATAATATTGCTAACAAGAATAACATTTCATACCTTTGAAGTCACAAGACGAGCCATTCCATTTAAAACCAAAATGACATTTACATGAGAGGTTGCCATTCATGTTGCTACAATATTCGTTAAGACCACAGGGAGAAATGGGACATCCATCTAACGGGAAAGTTATGCAAGGTAGGGTATAGTTAGAACAAACATTAGAACATGTCAAATACGAACTCAAAAACATCAAAACTAAAGGCCGTATTAAAATTCCCAGATTTTTTTAAACTACGGTACGGTACGGTATACGATGGAAAGTACATATATAGATTTTATCCAATTAGTAAACCGTAGCTTTGCAGTAATAAGTTTACGTGGTGTTTCCACAAACAAAACTATTATAGTATTATATTTTCCACAAACAAAACTATTATAGTATATTCTGCCCAGTCCTGGCACGGTCATTTGCTTTCAAGCGTTCCGAGTGACTTACTGGAGTTTTGCGATTGCACGACCATATTGTATCAATGATTTCATTGAAGAAAGGCTTATTCCATTTCGTTGTAGTTTCGACTGTTACTAGCTCTATCCTGACTGGATGGGTGGAGGGGAGAGTGCCTGCGTTTAATAATTATTTGCTGGGCCATATAGTTTATTCAGACGAAATCTTTGCACGTGAATACTATGCCTTGTTCAAATATATTATGACACTCATGTTACAAAATATTCTATCGTTTTTACTATGACACTTAATTAATTACAAATATTAATTTTCGAAATTACTTTCCTATAGCTGCTTAATTTTTAGCTATTTGTTTCGGATAAGGAGATGTTATGCAGTTTAAGAAAAAATGTTTCTCGTTAATAGTATGCGCTTACATTTATTATAATATTATAATTTAATTTAAAAAGCCGAAATTTGTGTTTCCATGCGTTCAGAAAGACGTTACAACTTTTTGGAATAAAATATTTCACCAACATCTCCGCGCATGAAGCCAATAAATATTTAGAAAAATTGTAAAAGTTCATAACAATACATGTACTGAAATAAGAGATATTAGCTTTTGATCATCGTGGGCACCCCCTCTCCCAATCTGGTAAGATTAGGGACTGGTCATAAAGTAATTGTTAGTGGGCTGACCCATCTAAGGATGAAGATGAAAAATTCAAAGCCCGCCTATTCTTACAACAACATTTCCATGACCCACCCAATCTAAATTAGGAGAATACATTTTTATAATAAAAAAACTTGCAGGTATGAACATTGTAAATGTACACCGGAACTGTATTGACATATGTAATTCCACCAAGCTTGACCAACATATATTCATCATGCACCAATTACGATACTGAGCTGCTCTCCAGTTGGTTGTATTTTCTGTGATTCGACCACTTCTTCTTGTTGTATAAACAAATAGCATCATTTCATAATTTGGATAGTTTTCTTTCTTTTATTATTAATATATGTATTTGTTGAAATAGACACGCATGGGTTTTTGTTTCGTGGCCCAACTGTGGACATACAAAAATTTGGCGGTCCATCGAAATTGCCCAAAGATTGTCCATGGCCCATCCCAAATCACTCCAGCCCACCCTAGCAGTTACTTTATGACCGGTCCCTAAGGGTATATTCGGATTCAAATAACAATTTTCATTTACAAGTAGTATAGGGAAGAGGGATTCTACGTCGGGTGGATCGTCTGACTCACCCATGACGTTATCAGGATATCACATCATACCGATTATACGCGCTTGTAATGTATTTAAAGAGTGTGGGCCAATGATTACCAGCATTTTAGAGGAGTTTTTAAGGTTTAATACTTTGCTAATCAATTTTAAGGGACCGTTCATTAATTATGGGCCAGCGGGGCTGGACGAAATTAGGGGGGGGGGGGTTGCCAAAACAACTTATGGTTAGGAGGGGGAGCCTTTAAAATGTTTTCAGCATGAAAAGGGGGGGGTTGCCAAAATTATTTGTGGTAATTATTAATATTTTAGGTTGACCAGTATACTTATGTAAGTCCGGAAATTTTTTTTACCTCCCCCCCCCCCGTCGACAACATCTTTCGGAAAAATTTGTCCCACTTGGTGAAAATAGACAGGGGGGTTGTGAAAAAAATTGTCGGTTACAAGGGGGGTCATGAAACAATTAACACCTTAATGGGGGTCATGCAAAACTTGCACCGTTTCTGCTCTTTTTCCTCCAGCCAACCATGACGTATAATTAATGAACGGTCCCTTATGCCCACATATATCCTTCTTACAAAGTGAGTGATTGAGTGAACTTTGTCACGTTCTCGATATATATTCTACTAAAGTTTTTGTAATGCTCGTGGGGCGTAGATATTGTACTCGTACGCATGCGCAGAGAGAATTGTGTATTACAAACACTCCTGAGTTATCGTAGTTTGCAAACATTCCGGGGGAAATTTTGCAGAGAATATCTCAGTTTATTCAAACTTCCCCAAAATCATAAAGGACATAGAATTAGAGAATAAAAGGCGTATTATTTGAATTAATTTGTCCATCCTTGGTTTTCCCTGGGGATGTATTCACTATGTTTAGGACTTTTAAACAAGGAATAATAAAAATCTAGACATACATATGAAATTTTTTAAACAGAACTAAGCAGTTGCTAAGCCAAAGTTAAAGTCGTTGTCAACGCCGTTGCATGAGCGGCGAATTTTATGAACCAAACTCTAGTGGCTTGCGGTCAGTGAAAAATAAACGTAGTGCCATAAAGATACAGGTGGAACTTTTCACACCCCCACACACCTGCGAGCGCCTCTCTTTCTGTCTGTGAGTAGCGCCTCTCAACATCGATGAGAGTTCTCGATGCATATGCAACAGGGCGTGTCTCGTGGCCATCGGACTGCATTAGGATGGCGCCTAACCCAACTGGACTGGCATCTACCCTAAGCTCGTATTCTGCTTCAGGGCTATAATGAGCCATTACGCAGTCGCTGGTCAAACTGTATTTTAGCTCGTTGAATACCAGCTGCTGTGGTTTTCCCCAAGCCCATTTGGCCCTCATTCGAGTTAATTGCCTAAGTGGCTCGGAAACGGTGGCCAAGTTTGGAATGAAGCGAGTACAATAATTGACCAAACCAAGAAAACTTCGCACCTCCCTGGCATTGATTGGAGCCGGGGCATTTTGGATGGCCTCTACTTTCTTGTCATCTGCAGACAGGCCGGCAGCGGAGATTTTGCAGGATCTGGTCCAAACTGCGGTCATGTTCAGCCTGGGTTGTTCAAAAGACAATAATGTCATCGGATATGTTGCGGACCCCTGGGATCCCAATTAGCACTTGCTGGTTGACAAACTGGTACATTTCAGATGCTGACGACAAACCGAAAATTAATCGTTTATACCAATTTAAGCCTTGGGGAGTGGAAAAAGTTGTCAGCCCACGAGAATCTAGGTGGAGCTCAATTTGCTGGTAACCCCAACGCAGGTCTAGCTTGGAGAAAACTATTACCCCATTGAGGGCTTGCACCGTCTCTTCCAATGTGGGGATGGGGTGGCGTTCACGAATGACGGCTTCGTTTGCCCGCCGCATATCAACACAGACGCGTACTTC